AGGCTAGTAAAATCTAGATCAGTTGACCAGAATAAGATAAGAAATCTGAAGAGTAGTTAATTCAGCTATAGCACTACACGACATGCAGTTACCCACAGTTATAAAATAGGATCGGATAGGATGACAGTTCTAACAACTAATATAACAGGGAGGAGGGAGAAATTGACAACGGAAGCCTTATTTATCATTGAATCAACTGAAAACACGTGAAATAGGAATGATTCAACACCTGTCCAGACGGACATCTAGAAAATTCTACTGCCCTAACAACAAATAGGAGAGAATAAAGAAAACTAAATATAATAACTATGGTTCTATCAATAACAAGGATGAAAAAGTGAGGCGATCTGTGATAACACGAATAACGAAAAACAGCATGATTAAACAAAAAAGTATTCAGGTAGACACAGTAAATGATGAAGGTTAAGAAAAACAAATGGACCGATTAAGTATTGCCAGATTCTAAGGGAAATAAATGAGGGAAATGACAGAAAACCTTAGACTATGAGTGCAGGTTAAAAAAAACCTCAATTTAATGGTGACTTATCAAGTGAGATTTTATTCCAGAGACTTTCCAGGAGTATACGAAAAACGTTTTACGCAGCATACCTATGTTTTTCACTCCCTAGCTGACGAATGATTGGGACGCAAACGTGGGGTAAGCTAGGCAGTTTTGCCACATTTATATGCATTTATCAATTCAACTGCACCTGGAGTGACAGTTTTGTTGGGCACACTACTACTAGACAGCTTAGCCAACGTGTCACTACGGAACATCTCTCATCGTGGTTTGACAATCCGTAGCTCAATTTTGTCACATTTAGTTGATAATGGTCATTTAGTGGAGAAAACAAGAGTTTTCAAAGTAATTCATCGTATCCCACCGAATCTTTCCAATAGACTTCGTATTCGTCTACTGCGCACAGCTGAGGCAGACGATAGGCATTAGAACTATTAATCCTAAACTATGCATTCAAAAGAAGTTCGTACAGCCATTATCCCTCCCTCTTTGACCAATTAAGACCTAACCCACTGATGACTTCTACACCACCCCTTCCTTATATTTTCAACCCCTCTCTTATCATCCCTTATTCTTATCACATCTTTATTAAAAACGTGTTTCACTTACTTCCCTTACAATCTAGCATTACTTAATCGGTTCATTTGTTTTTATTAGCCTTTATCGACTACTATGTCTACCTGAACATTTGTTTGTTTAACCATGCTGGTTTTTGTTATTCCTGTAATCACAGATCGCCTCACTTTTTTATCCTTATTAGTAATAATAGATTGTGTTTGAAACATTGTTACCCACTAAATAATATTGTTCCACTCACTGTGTCATATATCCAATAAACAAATTAATATGGGATTACATACTACCTTAGTGTCTAAGGTTTTCGCATATGTAATCAAAATGAGACATTCAGATAAGGATTACGCTGAAAGATGAAGGCTAACAGTAAATCGCATTTGTATACACAGTAGGCGTGACGGCTTAATTTTATGGATCTATATCATCTCAAGTCTGTGTGGAGGTCAACAGCACTCACCATAAAAAATAAGGTCTGGATTTTCAACTCCAATGTGAAGTCAGTGCTAATATACGGATCAGAGACTCGGCGCGTCATAAAGAGCATCTCAAACAAACTGCAGACCTTCATCAACAGTTGTCTTCGCTCAATACTACTCAAGATAAGATGGCGGCCAGAAAAGATCAGCAACAGATATCTCTGGGAGCGAACCAACACAGCAGGAACCGATTGTGAAACAAGTAGACAAGAAAAGATGGAGATGGATTGGCCATACTCTGAGAAAACAAACCATCAAGTGACATCACTAGACAAGCCATCGCTCGAGTGGAACCCGAAAGGGAAGCGGTGAGTTGGTCGTCAGTGCAAGGGTGAGGGTGACTTGGAGGAGGTCATGTGAAGAGGAGATGAAAAGGTGTGGGCAGACTTGGAGCCAGGTGAAGACTCTAGCAGTGAACCGAAAGCAATGGAGACGCACAACTGAAGCCCTATGGTCCTCTAGGAATTAAAGGAAATAATAATAATATCATCTCAGCAAATATTAGTATGCACCCCTTACAGATTTTTATACTCATAAAAGCTGTTTTGGTAACATTCTTATGATGATGGCAATAATAACAGCTTCATTGTGGAAATTATATTTACTCACACACGCACACAATACAGAATTCTTCGCATAATTTCTTAAAAAATATTAACCACTGTCCGTACAGAATCTTTAAGGGAATTATTCACTGACGATAGTACATCGTATAACACAACACCATTCTAACTAGAACAAGCAACTCAAATTACTACATATTATATCATTATTATTGGGTTCCAAATGGAACATAGGGCTTCAATAACACATCTCCACTTTCATCCATTTTCTGCCATCCTCTTCAGCTGGCTAGCCTCACGATTGCACATAATCTGTCATCCCCTCCTTCCCTCTCTACACGATCTCCTCCATGTCACCCTCGATGTGACCACCCACTGGTCGCTTCTCATTGATATTCCACTTGATCAATGGCTTGTATTGCTCGCAATGTCATTCGAAGGCCTCCTCAACGAAAGCCAGATTCATCTCCATTTTATCCCACATATTTGTTCAGCAGTCAGCTCTCACTTGTTGGTTTGTTCATTGTCAGAGTTTCTTGTTGCTAATTCTTTCTGGTCAGCCGGCCAGCCTTTTGATCTTCAATATAGAGCCAGTGAAGAAGGCAACTTTTGATAAACGTCTGCGGAAGCCTGTTGGAAATCCTTTTCTGTACACACCAGCCAAGTTTCTTATCCGTATAGAAGAACCGACTTGACATTGGTGTTGAAAATCCGAATCTTGTTGTTTATGCTGGGATGGAGTGTAGAAGATTTCCAAAATGGTTTCAGGTTGATGAAAGCATATCTATCTCTACAATATTTAGCTTTGTTTTGCTTCATGAATTGTAGAGTAGTAGGCCGAAAGTCAATTAAAAATGTGCGTGAAATCATCTTCAGTTATAAAAACCAAAACTGGATCATTGAAGCAGCAACAAGAAAGGAAGTAAAGTATATGGATATATGTTGAAGAAAAATTTAGGTAGCCCAGGTGTCACATCATCAGTTAAGTGTTCATACTGTAAATCAGTCTGCCATCTATCCTTTTTCAACGAGTTAAATTACTTGGTTACAGGATTTCATCATGAGCTGACATTGGTTAGACGACCATTAGGAAACCAGTCAGGGAGTACCTGACAGCTAGCTGCTTCGTCCTGGTTTGGGGCTCTTCATCAGTACACACCCATCTCCAGGGTTCGAACCCAGGCCCTGCTGGTTTCAAAGCGAGCTCGTAGACCATTAAGCCACTGGGACTCGATCCAATGGCCAGCCCACGAATTCTAACTTCTGCCAATTCACGACATAGCGCGACCCCTGGCCAATGTCTTCGGCGAGTATTTGTCCTCACACCCGACCTTCTGTGCCCTACTGGTCACGACTTCCCACCAGAACCCCAGGTAACTACCTACCTGAATACGGCCAGTCGCTAGTGAGCACCTCATTGATATTCAATTATTGGTTTGTAGGGATTTGATAGATTGGTTACAGGATTTCATCATGAGCTGACATCAGTTAGAGGACCTTTGGAAAACAAACAGGCATTACTAGACAGCCGTTTCATCCTAGTTTGGGACTCTTCATCAGTACACACCCACCGGGGTTCAAAGAGTTCAAATACTATTTCCAGCCATTTAGCTATATCTTCCTCCATCTACATATGAGAGAAATGATTACTCCCCCCCCCCACCGCATATATATGTGCACCTACGCATAGGCACGTGAATTTGTTATTTTTCCCAAGCACTACGATGTAAAACCAATCACTTTTTATAAGAATTTTTCGTTTTATTTTATAATCAATGCCTTTCTTATTTATACAAAGCAATAAAATGACGTAATTTGTCTGAATTGCGTAATGTTATATTTGCACAACACCCTTCTAACAATCTGATCACACACACATGGACTTGTTATAGGAATGTATATATAAATGAAATTAATAAAGAGTTAAGAGTTGAGAAAATAGACTACTTACGTCAAGTTAAAAGCCCACCATATTGAAGGTCAAAATAACAATGAAGATCACTAAACCAAATAACAGAGGTAATATTACATCTACTCTGGCTGGCTTCGAAACAAAGTTTAACAAGGAGGGTAGGTTTAATAACGAATTGTTTTTGAATGCATAGAGGTGGCTTAAACTTTCTAATTGCTAGCTAGGACTTCCACAAACTTTAGGATACACCCTCAAACACGGTTTATAGATAGGTTTAAAAGATGTGTTGACGTCAATTTTATGTCCTGTCTCTATAATATGTTTCTCAAGAGAGGAGCTAGGTCTCCTGTTCTCACCATTAATGGGTTCTGAAGATTCTATTTGTTTCTGGAGCCATTTAGGAATATGCTCTGAAGCCCTTACTTGCAGAGATCGATGAGTCCTCCCTATGTATGTGCGTCCACACGTACATTCAAATTGGTAAATACAGTGGGATGTGACATCATTTTTCGCATGTTCTAAGGGCTTAGATGGATGGATATACTGGCTTCACATTCTCAATTATCATGATATTACCTGCATAAAAAGTCTTTTAACAGCAGCGTTCAATCTTTGTCTAGTTACCAAGGGTAGGGTAGCTTGATGTACACGTCTTTCTTAGGAGCGAGTTGGAGAGTGGGTCTTGGTGTTCTAACTACTTTATATCTCCTGATGAACTTGTCTGGATCATTATTATTATTATTACAACCAGAGTTTGTGTCAACTTTCCTCCTTCCTCATCAAGTATGTCATCAGTGCATATTCATTGGACTCTAATGAAGAGGCACCTTGTTCACTAAGGCTTTTATGTACCAAACAGAAGGCTGGCACTATAATAATTAAGTTACTATCCTTGTCCATATAGAATTATTTATTGGAATCATTCTCTTTTTTTCTCTTTTTCTTCATCTAAGGTTTTACACCAGTAAAAAATATTAGTTGTGCACAATGTGAAATGAAAATAGAAGCTGATGGCAAGAAAAGTTTTGTTGAAACTGATATGTATCGACGTCGATGTGCTGATGAGCCGGAATTATTTTTTAAACCATGGTAAGTAAGCTCATTTATAGTGATTATTATTACTATTATTATTATTGCATACTGCTGTTAGTGGAACATGAGGTTTCAGTGGCCTGTCTCCATTCTATCCTGTTTTATGAAGTTCTTTCCATCTGACTCTATGATTGCCTAGGTATACTCTCATCTCCTCCTCATCCACATCATCCTTGGAACCATGCCCGACTTTTCGCTTTCCATTCGTGTTCCACCCTAACGTTTGTGGCAACTGGTGATTAACTTCATTCAACGGCTTCCTCAAGGTGACTCCGATGTATCTTCAATTTCTTTTGCCATCTATTTGTGTTGAGAGCTTTTTGACCCGTTCGTTTCCAGTCAGAGTTCCTTGTTGCTAGTACTTTCTAGCCGGCCATCTGATCTTCCACATAATCAATAGAAGGTAACTGTTGGTGGAAGTCTGCAACAGGTTGTTGGAAATTCTATTCATAATGTTCGTTATCCTAATTAGTACATCAGATTTCCGTAATGAACTAATAAACAGGGCGAAGTTCATTTACACTTTTCAAGATTATTTTTTTTCAAAGATTGATTAATAAACAAACAATATTCTTTGTCAAAACTTCTTCTTCATTAGGTTCCAGAGTTATATACATCTATAATAATTCAATTCGTTTATTATTTTATTTATAATCAACTTGGGTTCCGAGTGGAACAATCACCTTCAACAATACATCTCAGCTTTGTCCCATTTCCTACTGTCCTCTTCAGGTGGCTAGCCTCACGTTTGACCATAATCTCTAATCTCCTCCACTTCGCACGATCTTACCCATGACACCCTTGCGCTGATGACCCACTCGAGCGATAGCCTGTTTCACGCGCGATGTCATTCGACAGCCTCTTCAACGTATGCTCAATCAATCCATCTCCATTTTCTCCTACATTTTTGTTGAGCGATGGGCTCTCACTTGTTGGTTTGATCCACTGCAGAGGTTCTTGTTGCTAATTCTTCCTGGCTGGCCGACCGGCGATTCGATCTTCAGTATGGAGTCAGTGAAGTGGACAGCTGTTGATGAAGGACTGTAACTTGTTGAAAATGCTTTTCGGGACAAGCTGACCATGTTCCTGACACGTACAGAAGAACTGACTGACTGACTTCACATTTGTGTTGAAAATCCTAATTCTGCTCTTTATACTGAGTGCAAAGTCAAAGATTAGGTAATCAAATTAAGAAGGTAGACTAAAGGCATCCAGTTACCGTGGCAACGATGGACTGATAACCGCTTCTTTCTGAATAGTTGTTTTGGCGGGCTTGAAGAGACTCTGACTGTATTTCCTACTGATAGTTTTAAAAGAGTTCAGGATTTCCACTGCATGTTCCATATGGACGAGATGCCCGACAATGGTCATATTGAAAGTATTTGTTCCTTTGAGACGTAGGCGTTTTGGTACATTTACCTGCTATTGCATATGCATATGAATTTGTATGCGTGGTTGGAGTCAACATATGAAGGTTATCTATCGACTTTTGCCTACGGAATGCAACTTAGCTGCTAGGCAGACCGTGGCTAGTGACGTACTCTATCTTCTGTTGAGTATTTCTGCAATATATTATCACCTGTGAATTCAAGCTGTTCGCAAATAGGCTTCTTTTCATATTAATTTGTTTATTAGATATATCACACACAGTGAGTGAAACAGTATTGTTTACTGGATGACACTGTTTCGAACACAATTCATTGCTGCTCATATTCATATCATCAATTACAACTACACAACTTCGAGACTTTCGTTTTATAGCTTTCTTTATTCATTCCTATTTGTCGTCGTAAGGGTAGTAGAATTTTCCAGATATCCAGGTGAATAGGTGTTGAATAATTTCTACCCCTGCGTGTATTTTCAGTTGACTTGATAAATAAAGCCTCAGTCATTTGTCAATCTCTACCTCAAACCCATTATATCAAATTTGAGAACTGTCATCTTATCCCATCCATCCTATTGCATGATTGTGTGCAATTGCGTGTAATGTGGTGCTACAGCTGAACTATTCTCTAGATTCTTTATGTTATTCGTGTCAACTAATTTAGATTTCACTGCTGGGTTTTGTGCTCAGTTAGTGTAACTAACTGACCCCACTCTACTACTTCGACCTATGTATTCGACCTGATAATCATTGTGGGTAGGGTATTAGATAAACTAAACTGTTTTGTTGTAAAGGCTCCACAGGATTGATCCTTTATCCGACAAAACATGTTTCTAATTGAGTTTGTGGGTTCGAATGCCATCTACTTTTATTCCTGCCTTGTCAAGAATTCTGCGTAAGGTTTCCGAGGTTCTTTCTTGGTATGGAAGTACTACTGATGATTTAGACTCCTTATTGTTGGTGTTGTCGTTATTCTGTGCATGTCTGTCATGCAAGTCGTCATTAATATTATTTTTCTATAGTTGGTTTGTAAGGAATAGTTTTGTTTTTATGAGTTGATCACGGATTGATATCAGTTAGAGAACCATTGGGAAACTAGTCATGGTGTACTGGACATCTGTTTCCTCCTTCCTAGTTTGAGAATCATCGGCGGTACGCACCTAGTGTACCGGGGTTCGAACACAGGACCTTCTGGTTACAAGATAGGCTGGCTCGTATACCATTCAGCCACTGGAACCCAATTCAGTGGCCAACTCATGAATTCTAACTTCTACCAATTCGTGGGTGGGTGCCTACTGTTCATGATTCCCAAACTAGGATGAAACAGCTGTCCAGTACTCCCTACTAGTTTTCAATGGTTCTCTAACTGATATCGATCCATGGTCAAACACTTAAAAACAAATCTAATCCTTAAAAGCCAACTGTTGAAAATTAATCTGATGCTCACTAGTGACTTCCTACAGGACGGAGTTTCCCGGAGTTCCGGTGAGAAGTCGTCACCATTGAAGTCCATCCAGTCAAGTGTGAGGATGGATGTCACACTGATGACACTGGTTGGTGATCGCGCTAAATCACGAAATGGTAGAAGTTAGAATTCATGGGTTGGCCATCGAATTGGGTCCCAGTGGCTGAATGGGTTCGAGCCAAGGTGTATTGGATGTGTACTGCCAATGATTCCCAAACTAGGCTGACGAAACACCTGATCCTTACTCCCTGGTTTTCAATAGTGTTAGTTTATTTAGCCAATTATGCTTCATTTGCTTTCACAATTCTCATTTGACCCCATGTTCCTATGGTACAATTATCGCCACTGTCACTAATATTATTATTTATTTTATTTTTACATTTCCCTATATACTTCCCGATTAATTTATCAGGATAATTAACAAGTTCCAAAGGTTCTCTTATATGCCCCACTTCCTATCTGAGATATTAGTTTGTACTACTTAGTTTTTGTGCTCTGTCATTTAAACATTTCACCAATCCTATTTTTACTGACATAGGATGGGATAATCAGAAATCCAAATATCTGTTTGAATGTGTGGTTGAATTTTCTGTAAACACTAGTGTGTTTAACTTCCTATCTTCATTCCTTTTTACGCTACAATCTAACATTGGAAACCCCCCTTCCCGACTTTCCACTTCATAAGTGGATTGAATTGCCTGCACTTTCTCCAGTAGGTGTATTCAAAAAATCTATTTATGTCCTGTGTTTTGAGTAAGGTGAATGTACCATCTGCATACCTCCACCATACTTTTGAGGTGGAATCAACTGAAAATACATGCAGGAATAAAACATTTTCAACACATATCCAGCTGAACATCTGGAAAATTCTACTACTACTACTACTACTACTACTACTACTGCTTTAACGACGAATAGGAAAGAATAAAGAAACCCATAAAACGGAAGATCCGCATTAGTTCTGTTTATTAGATATATCACACAGTGAGTAAAACATTATTATTTACTGGATGACAGAGTTTCGAACAAAATTTATTGTTCATAATCATGTCAGTTATAACCACACAATTTCGAAACTTGAGCCTTATAGTTTTCTCTATTCTCTCCTATTTGTCTTCGTATGGGTAGTATACTTTTCCAGATAATGACGACACCGACAATAAGGAATCTAAATCATCAGTAGTAATTCTATACCAAGAAAGAACCTCGGAAACCTTACGAAGAATTCTCAACAATGAAGGTAGGAATAAAAGTGGCTGGTGTTCAAATCCACAAACTCAATTAGAAACAAGCTTTGTCGGTTTAAGAATCAATCCTGTGGAGGCAATTAAACAAAACAATTTAGTTTATCTAATACCCTGCTTGTATGATTATCAGTTAGGTAAAATACATGGGTCAAAGTAGTAGAACAGGTGCAGTCAGACTAGCTGGACATAAAAACCTAGCGAAATCTAGATTAGTTGACATGAATAAGATGAAGAATCTAGAGAATAGTTCAGCTATAGCACCACATTACACGCAATCGCACACAATCATGATATAAGATGGATGGGATAAGATGACCGTCTTAAAATCGAATATAATGGGATTGAGTGGGAGACTGAAAACTGACTGAGACATTATTTATGGAGTCAGGTGAATAGAAATTATTCAACACCTATTCACCCGGATATCTGGAAAATTCTCCTACCCCTTCGACGACAAATAGGGAGAAATAAAGAAAACAATAAAACTCAAGTTTCGAAGTTGTGATGTTATAATTGATGATATGATTATGAGCAGCAATAAATTGTGTTCGAAACCTTGTCATCCAGTATGTAATAATACTGTTTCACTCACTGTGTGTGATATATCTAATAAACAAACTAATATGGAATTACATACTACTACAGAGCCCAAGTTTTACACAGATATTATTAAGGCTGCTTTTCTACTGTAATTCTATTTCACGCTAAGACTTTCACATCTTCTGTACTCATTTGTTTTTGTGCTCCTTATATGTCATTCTAGTCCAATGAATGATAAGAATAAACCACGTGGATGTGGAAAACTTACTACTTATGTAAAAGAACCAGTTTCGAAAGGTCGTACAAGAGGTAAGTGAAACTATATATATTTCATTCAATTGAATTATTTATCAAAAGAAATAGTTTATATATTCAATTACACCTCTTACAGGTAGATAAAGTTTAAAAATAAGTGAATTCCATTTTTATCATAGTATTATTATTATTAGTATTCCCCTAGGTTCCAAATAATATATATATATATATATATATATACAGTTTGAATAACGTATCTCCTCTTCATTGATATAAGTATAAACTTGGGTACTGTGGTAGAGTATAACTCCATTATGGATAAGATTTAATTTTGATAAATCACACAGTGTTACACAGTAATATTAACTGATGATCACATTTCGAGCTCAAACTATCGCCACTCATAATCATATCAAGTCACTCACACAACTCTCTTCATTTATATTCATGAGTGGAATTGATGATTGGACATTTGAATAAAATCAACATGGGATAACGTACATTCAGAAATAATGATATGAGTGTCATTGATCAAATACAATCAGATGGGAAATAAGACGAGTGATTTTATAGTAAAATAAATAAGTAACTTGTTAGAATGTTGTTATGTGCTTGAATTGAAATAGAATTTTAAGATTATTTATTATCCTCCTGTGATTTGACTGATTGGTGGTAATAATATCTTCCATGCATATCTCTGGTATTTGCATTGAGTTATTTCTCCTGCTTGTGTTGGGTGTAGATTCACTCGATAAATCAGGATACAGTAATAAATCTCTTTCTCTCGCCACCTACCTATATTACTTCTTAGAATTTTAACCCTCTCCCACCCTATTATGTGGTTGTGTGTTAATGCATGCAGTGCAATTGCTGAGTGTTTATCTATTAATTACTTATCTTCGTGGGACCAATCATTCCAACACAATTAAACAAAATAATATAATTTACAAAATACCTTCCAATGACTGTCACTGAGGTCAACTATATAGTTCGAACTAGTAGGTCGGGGGTAGTCACATTGTCAGAACATAAGAATTTAGCTAAGGTAAGAATGGTTGACCCAGAGAAGATAAGTAACGTAGAAAAAAACTCAGCAATTGTACTGCATGCATTAACACACAACCACACAATAGGGTGGGACAGAGTTGAAGTTCTAAGAACTAATATAGGTCGATGGAGAGAGAAAGAGATTGATTACTGAATCCTGGTTCATTGAGTGAATCTACACTCAACACATGCAACAGAAATGACTCAATGCAAATACCAGAAATATGGAAGATATTATTACCACCAGTCAGTCAAATCAGAGGAGGATAATAAATAATCTTAAAATTCTATTTCAATTCACATACATCATAACATTCTAACAAGTTACTTATTTTGACTATAAAAACACTCGTCTTATTTCCCATCTAATTGTATTTGATTGATAACACTCATATTATTATTTCCGAATGTACTTTATCTAATATTGAATTTTATTCAAATATCTAGTCAATTCCACTCATGAATCTAAATCAAGTAAGAAAGTTGTGTGAGTGACTTGATATGATTATGAGCAGCAGTAAATTGTGATCGAAACATGGTCATCAGTAAATATTACTTACTGTGTGACACTGTGTGATTTTATCAAAATAAAATTTTGTCCATAATGCAGTTATCTCCTCTTCACCCTGTCCTCTACAGTCGTTTTTATCTGCCTTCATGGTTGCCTATAGACTCTTCTCTCCTCTTCACACGAACTACTTTAAGGTACTCTCCAACCCAATCCTATTTTATCATTTCCTATTCAGGTTCCATCTGAGAGTTTGCTTGGTGTGTGACCTGACTCAGCAGTCTCCTCGGCCTATATCCTATCCATCTGCATTTTCTTCGGCACATATGTCGAGAAATATATCCCCTGTTGGTTCGTTGTCTCAGTTCTCCATCACTTATCCTTTCTGAATAACCATCTGATCTTTAGCACGGAGTCAGTGAAGGCAGCTGTTGAATCACATAGAATCGCTGACTTGACTTCAACAATGGGATTCTGATTCTTATTTCCTTATGTTGACGACAACAGATTTCTAGACTGATTTGAGATGTATGAAGGAATGTCTTACCTTTCCGATCCTAATTGTCTTTGGCAGTTTCATCTGTTCTGCTTGCACTTGAAACAATCGCTGACTGGATAAATATCTTTGGTAAGCTTCTTCAAATTTCCCCGGTTGACAGTGACTGGTTCCTGTTGTTATTGGTTACGTATCTTTATCATCTCTGTCTTCCCAGTATATATATATAGTTGACATCCTATTTTCGCTTCCATCTTGTTCTACCACCACGCTGATTTTCTCCACTGTAGATCCTCAGGTTTGTGTAACATATAAACCGTCAGTGAAGTCCAAATCTTCCGGAGTATTAATATCGGTCTGAAGTATCTCTGGCTTTTCACTCCTGACGGTCTACGACATGATGCAGTCCGCCACAATCAACAGTATTACTGTGGTGAGAGCGGTCTACTAGCCAAGTGGTGGACAGTAATTGAGGTCAATGTTTATGTATCAAATATTAGTCATGTTGTGGTGAGAGATGGTTGCTGGCCAAATTGGTTGACAGTAATTGAGGTCAAAGGTCAAGGTGGACAGGCGGTTACAGTTAACATATAGATGAACTGACACAGTCACAAGAGATGCAAGGTTAACTTTGTGTGAGAAACAACCAATCAACAGACTGTATTTTCTACTAACATTGACCTACAATAATGTACATAAAAATCTATAAATACGTGTTGATTTTCGTAATAAACGATCTGTTGCCTGGCCCTTGTCTTCTGTTGTTACATTACCAGTGATAGTAGGCAAACTTGTATTATTACTGTATTCACTTCAAAGGCCTTGCAGAGTTTTATTTTGTGAACCACTTGACTTGTAGAATCGTCAAATATCTAATGAGTGAAGTTGATAAAGATTTGAACCACTCTGTTAGGTAGAAATAGTTTCTAGAGCACTTCGCCGTCAACACTCTCGAAGACTTTTTCAAAGTCCGTGAAGTCAAGGTACAAATTTGACCATCATTCTACGCTCTATCAGGTGATCACGCATCTTGTTGCTATTCAATCAGCACCCAATTTATCTCTCCTGAATCCAGCAGTCCTCGGGGAGAGTTCTGTACCCAGATTTTCTTCTATTCCCTCCAGGATCATGTAACTTAAAACTTTGATTAGAGTGGACAAGAGCATGACTCCACCCCCCCATCACCTTTTGCAAAGGCTCAAATCAACCTTCTTTGGCAGTTTTGCGAGGCAGTCTTTTTCCTTGTAATCGGTTTTAAGTAACTCTCCTTCTTTCCAAACTCCTTCTAATATTGGCATGAGGATATCCACTAAGATCTCTGGATCCATTTTTGGGGGATATCTTGAGAAGTTCTGTTTGGTCCTGATGCCTGCTTGCCTTTCAGTAAATTTATGCTATACTTTCCTGATTCTTGCTACACAGCAGCAGAAGTGATGTTTATTTCGAAACAGTTCAACCTATAGTTTGGCAAGGCCTATTTCCTGGATATCTTTGGAATTTAGGCAAAAAGAGTGTATCTACTTTTAAGTAGTATAATTATTTTACAGAAAATTTTAACAGAGTCAAATTGACAATGGTTCTCAACAAAAATTTGTATTCATGAAGTTGCGTGAAGACTAACAGCAGAATCTAGGCAACACCCATTTCGTAGTTACTTGGGATTGACTTGGAAGGTGGATGAACCTGAAATTCCTAGTGATTGATGGTGTTCCAAATGGTACTCGAACGCAGAAAATCATTAGTATCAAAAGCTGAAGCATCCTGGATTCCATATTGATCTACAAATTTCATCGAAAGATCCACAACAAGATCAGATGTATCAACACAGAGGCCGAACAATTGGGTCACGAATAGCCAGTCCACATCATTTCGTTTCCTAGATGGTCCTAAGAGCAGAAAAGGTGGAATGATTGGGTGAGGGAACAGCTACCCCACAATGGAAAATCAAATCAGTCGCTAAAGAAATTTCAAATCACGCAAGAAGTATACGAGTTCAACACATTCTTCGCTGGATACGGGGAGATTGAATGACGTAAACTAGTGGAAGCCTTCCAGAAGCTTGTCAACCGATTTGTTTTAATTCGATGAAAAATAATATACGTATAGGGACGTGCAATGTTCTCAGGACGTTCAAAATTAAGAAGGTTACTCCCATAGCGAAAGCCATGACAGGACACTGTGTAGAATGGTTAGAAACCTGTGGAACGAAAGTAGATAGTCAGCATAGTAAAGCAGCGAGTCAGTAGTCTACTTCAGTTGACCAGACGGTAACCAGGAGCACATTTACCTGAAATACACACGGATACATAATTCATTGCCCAATAGAGGTTAAAATACTTAAAAGAACGTATGGCTACAAACGTCATAATGAATATTAATGCCTAGAAAGCACTAGCAAAACGAACGCACCAACCACTGAACGCTCAAAATGTATGCACAAAAATAAGGAGATTGAAGCGATGAAGGCGGAAGAGACTGTTCAGTGACATCAACCGCTACGCAATTATCCCTGTGGTAGTCAGATGCGAAACGACTACGTACACGTGCATTTGAGGAATACATACAAGAGATCATGCAAGGAGAAGATAAGAGCTAGTAGGCATTCGAGAAGCCAGCTAAATAAAACTACGGAAGGTCGGATGAAAGACAGATGTATTGCTGAAAACCAATGTTCCACTCGGAAACCAAGGGAATCATTATCATAAATTTCCAGAAAATTAAAACATCAAAACGACACTGCTTCAAATTCATCGATCATTTACTTCCTACTATGCAGCTACTGGCATTATCGTTGTATTACCCAAAAACGAATTCACAAAATCTCAGCTAACAAACGGTAACTTCAACATAGTTATTAAGAGTTAGAAAGTTTTCCTCTCTCTATCAAAATGCTAAATTGGTACAGACACAAATTCACATGAAGAGTGTTCGATTTGAAAAACAGATGAAATTGTAAAAAAAACAGAAAATGTTTACAGACATTCACGAGTGCGGAGGCGTTGA